GTTCTTTGAGGGATTCCCCTCCCCACCTTCAGTGCCCAGGGCGCCCCAACCTCTTTGCTACGTGTCTTTATTGTTCTTATTGCTTATTACTCAGTTTCTCTTTTTTCCCTGGTTGGGAGTTGGTCTGTCCAGGGTGCTGTGCTGTTCTGGCCCAGGGTTGTCTGTGGGAGTACCGTGTACCGCTTAGCTCACTTTGTCCACGTCTTCCCAAGCCATCTGGGCATGGGTATCTGGTGGCCAGGGGGCCCTCCTGATTTCTCCATTCAACGTGAAATGGAGATGCTCCGCGCAGGCTGGAGGTGTGGAGGGGTCAAAGTTTTGCCTCTTCTTGGTGGCCTTGCCTGCAAGGTGTGTCTCCAGCTTCTCTCCAAGATTTCACTTTAGGAGGCATGCTTTCTGCTTCCTCCCTCTAGCCGCCATCTTGGACTCCTCCATGAGGATTTTCGTTTCTTGAGAAAATTTGTAAATTGTACCACTTGGCAATTAACAGTATTTTCATGGTAAAGTTTATGTAATGACATATAGTAGATTGAATGAGATCAGTAATCTTATTTTCCTGGGTAGAAATGAAGAACCATTCATGTTTCAGGAAAAAACACCAATAGTTGATTATTTTTAAAGGATTATTAGTAAAAAATTTTTTAATGGTTTAGAACTACACTATTAAGCTATTAACCAAATTATATATAACTTAAAGTGTTATATGTTTATTTTAAACTTTTCTCTTTAAACAAATGAAGTGCTTTTAGAGAGTACACTTAAGAAATAGGACATAATTTTTATTGATGATACTATCAGTGTAAAGTAATAGTTTCCAAAGAAGCATAGATAGGTAGTATACTTTAAGAGAAAGAGCACAAACTTTGGATAGAGAGGTTCTTGATTTGAGTCCTAGTTATACTGCTTGCTGTACAACTGAAGATGGATACTTTACCCATCTTCAAGCTTCTGATCTATAAAATGGAGATGTATTTAATGAGATCTAAGATGAAAATTTATTGAGGATTTAATATTTTTGAAATGTCAGTGTGTTAAAATTGATGCTATATTTGTCAGTGTTTTTCTTAACATTGCATAAAATAATCATACTTTTTATAATTGTCAGTGTCTTAAATGAAATATGGTAATAATCCTAGCTATAGAGAATTGATAGTGCTGTATATATTTTCAGAAGTGATAATGCTAGCTAGCTTTATCCAATTGAAATTGGATAATTTAGACATAGAAGATATTCCTTAAACTTATTTTCATTTTCTGTGGTAGGTTAAGTTTTTTGGTTGGTTTTGGGATTATCTGTTGTTTTATAAAGAGAATCAGAAGTGTAGAACTGTTAGATAAAAATAAAAAACTCATGGCTCAGTATTTTAAGTCTCTACATCAAAACATCTTGTATTTGTTTTGTTGAGGCATTTTGCTTTAGAGAAATGGTCATATTTTGGGTAATAATTATTATCTTAGCTGACTTATATAATGTCGACTCGTGCCAGACACTATTCTATTTACACATATATTTAAAACCCTTAGAATGATTATATGACATAGGTAGTAGTATTCCCATTTTTACAAATCAGGAAAGTGAGACAGGGAGTTTAATTTTCACAAAATCCTATAAGCAAAATCCTATAGTTAGATTTACAAGCAAAATAAACAAGCCAGTAGGAAAGAATTTTAAAAAAATGGAGCTTGTATAAGCAAAACACCCAAACCAAACAGCAACAACAAAATCCCTCCTCTTTGCATATAATAACCTGATAATTTTGTAATAGATACTTTTTCAGATATAAAAGAAAGTGTCATAAAGGATTTAGTCTTGACCCCCAGCTCAGATGCCTGCTGAAGCACATGATAGACATTTGTCCAGTCACTTATCCTTTCTCTTCAGAGGGAGGAGCATTTCAGTGTCTCACATAATATGTACCCTAAGCAATATTAAGAATTGGCAAGTTTTGTCCTATTGATTGCAAAATTGGAGTCTCGTTCTTTAACTGCTGATGCAACATGAAAATAATTTAATGGATTTTGAGTTGAGAGAAATGAAGAAAAGTTCTAAGCCTATGTGAGAGACATTTCATCAGAGTGGAAATCAAGAGGGTACAGTAGCGAGAGTTTACCCTTTCTGATAGATGAAATGAATGGAAATGATAACTAATGTATCTTTGGCAGCTTTATTCTGATGAAGTATGGTAATAGCAGATTATCTTTAAGTATTATTTATACCTAAGATATAATCTTTTGTCACAGAACATTAAAAAAAATCAAGAAATGAAGAGAACCCAGTCAGCTCTGGGAAAATATGGAGCTGTGTAGTATACACATCATTGAAGTAACAGAAAGAAAGAAGATAGAAAAAATAGCTAAAATTCTAAACATTTGCTAAAAACTATAAGCCAGAAATTTTCAATCTTTAACCAAGGATATTTTGGACTAGAAAATTCAGTGTGTAGATAGCTATCTTGTGCATTGTAGGACATTTAGCAGCAAGTGTGGTCTCTGTTCACTACATAGTGATACCAGTGGCACTACCTGCTATGACAACACTACCCCAGATATTGCCAAATACCCTGGAGGTGGGGGTGATTGGGGGCGCTAAAGTCACCCCTTGTTGGGAATCACTGTGATCATTCTACAGATCCATGAAGCTCAGTGAACCTGAAGACTACAGCAAATACACATCATCATCGAATTGTTGAAGATCAGTGAAAAAGAGAAAATCTGAAAAGCACCAGACTAAAAACATGCAGAGGAACAAAGGTAGAACTATGCCAGGGTTCTTTTCAGAAGTTAGAAGTCAATAGATTGGCATTCGAAGGAAAAGACTAGCAAACTGTAACTCTATACCCAGTTAAGATAGCTTTCAAAAATGAAAGTGAAGCTTCCTTATAATGAGCATTTATGAAAACCAGAGATGGAATCACACTGTATGGCAAATGAAAAGGTTTCCCTAAGATCAGCTATAAGACGGGTGCTTGATTTCACCACCTAGGGCATTAGACAAGCAAAAGAAACAAATAGCATCCAAATTAGAAAGGCAGAAATAAAAATTGTCTACTGCTCACAGATGACCTGGTCCCATATATGGAGGATCCAAAGATGTACCATTTTAATCCATTTATCTGTTGAAGGATTTATTGAATTATTGCCATTTAATAGCATGTAGTAGTTTCTCATTGTTTTAATCTGCATTTCCCTAATGCAAGTTCAGTGATGTTGAGCATCTTTTCATTTGTTTACTTGCCATCTGTGTGTCTTCTTTGATAAGGAGTCTGTTCAGATATTTTACTGATTTTTTTAGTCGGGTAATTTATTCTCTTATTGTGGACTTTTAAGAATTTTCGAATATCCGTCTTTGAATATCAGTACTTTAGGAGGTGTTTTGTAAATATTTTCTTCCAGTTTGTGGCTTATCATATCATCATCTAAACAATGTCTTTGACAGAGCAGAATTTAATTTTATTGATGACCAGGTAATCAGTTTTTTTCATGAATCACGCTTTTAGTGTTGTATCTAAAAAATCATTATCAAATCTATGGTCATCTAGGCTTTCTCATGTTGCCTTCTAGGAGTCAGGTTTTTGCTTTTGTTTTGTTGTTTTTCTTTGGCAGTACTGGGGTTTGAACTCAGGACCCACACTTGGTAGGCAGGTGCTCTTTGGCTTGAGTCACATATCCACCACTTTTTGTGTTATTTTTTTAATAGGGCATTCCATTCCCTCCACCCATCCTAGACTAAGATCTTCCTATCTGTGCTTTTCTCTGTAGCTGAGAAGATAGGTGTATGCCACTACACGAAGCTTATTGGTGGAGATGGAATCTCACTAACTTTTTGCCCGGTTTGGCCTCCAAATGTGATTCTCCCCATGTCCTCTTCCTGAGTAGCTGGGATTCCAGGCTTTTGCCACTTTGCCCAGCTTGAGTCAGTTTTTTTGTATTTTAACAGAAGCTGTACTTAACACCCATACTTGATCCTGACTCTCTTTCTCTTTTCTTTGGTACCCAGTTTTCTCATTTTCAGCATTGCTTGAATATCAACTACGTTTCAACGTTTCTACTAGTATCCTACTAGTAGAGCATGTATTTGAAAGATAGATGTATTAAATAAGTTATCCCTTTCATTGTACTTTTTCTTGCATAGAGAAAAGAATTCTCAATCCCAGAATTCTTTGCAGCATTTATTCTCTAAGGATGGTCCCCAGAGGATAGGAGATCTGGTTTTTGCCTAGTGCTGCTGTTTGCCAGCATTTACTAGTATCCTTCATATACTTCACCATTTAATCACATTAGTAGTTGTCATTTGTGATTTTGTAATTTTCTTTCTATAAAATTGATAAGTGACTTGAATCATCTCTAGAATTTCTGTCATTTCTAGAAATCTTATATAGTTTTAATAACTGATAGGCTATGCGATCTCTACGATCTTTTCCCTCAATCCAGTAGTTCACAAATCCAAATAAAACCCCTTAAAGGACAGAAAAATTTGATGAGATTGCTTGTATTGTTTTAAGTAAAATTAGTCTTTGCATGGTCAACAATAAAATAATTTAATTTTGATTCTCAAGTCATATTTATGTTCATTCAGAGTTTTGACTTTCTGCAGGGTGTCCTAACCTAAAATCTCATATTTCAGAAGATGTAGGCTTCTATAGAGGTTAGAGTTGCAATCAGCTAAGGTTATTGGTTTTATGTGGCTCCAAAAGATAGTTGTGGAGTGACCTCAGACCACCAACATTAGTATAGTAGCATATTCTGTTACTGTGATGCCTGAAGGTCCTGTTGCCTTTTTGGTACTACCTTAAAATTGTTACTAGTGATGAGGAAATGGTCGAGAGTAAAATTTTAGTGTTTCTTAGAAAAGTAATTTTTTTTTTCCTGGTACTGGGGTTTTGAACTTAGGAGCTACCACTTGAGCCATAACCCCAGCTCAGAAAAGTAATCTTTTATAACTGCTTATGATGTTGCTTTAATCCATATGTCTTCTCTCTAACTTCTTTTTCCTTCTACAGATACCAGAGAAGAAAGGAAAAGAAGCAAAGAGTGGTTTTGGTGGGCCAGTTGTTAGTTCTCTATATCATGAAGAAACCATCAGGTAATTTCTCCTCTGACCTTTGATAACAGAAATATGCATACATATATGTTGACATATGTATGTGCGCATATATGTGTGTGTGTATATATATATGTAATACATATATATGTGAAAAATCTTGAAATTTTCAATTTGTGAAGCACTTTTCTTAACATAAACTGACTTGTGTTATCTCTAATAGGATAATAAATGGTAGGAAAGAATTTTGTAGGTGTAATCTTTAAAATCATTAAGTGTGTGAACCAGTGCCAAAATGTCTGAAAAAGTAAAAATACAATCATTTATTGCTTACCATCAGGGTCTGAATCAATGCCTTTCCCACACATACGTATTTGATGGGGCAAGTTTTGTGTTTCAGATGATCTAAAGCTATGGATTGTTGTTAATTTTCCTTGGAATACCACTATTTCTTTTAAAGATTTTAATTTTTTTAGAGATGAAAAGGGGGATATCACAGCAAATAACATTGAAATTCAGAGGATCATTAGGGAGTACTTTGAAAACCTTCATTGAAATAAACTGGAAAATCTAGAAGAAATTTCTAGATGCATTTGAACAACCAAAATTGAACCAAGAGGATATAAACCACCTAAATAGATCTGTAACAAGCAATGAGATTGAATATATCAAAAAGATCACATATCATGATCAAGTCACTTTCATTCCAGGGATGCAAGGGAGGTTCAGTATATACAAATGATAAATGTAATACATCATATAAACAGAGTCAAGGACAAAACTCATATGATCATCTCAGTAAATGCAGGAAAAGCCTAGACAAAATTCAGCATCCTTTCATGAAGAAGCTAGGAATAGAAGGAACATACCCCAACATAATAATGCCTATTATGACAAACCACCAACATCATACTAAGTGGGGAAAAACTAAAACCATTTCCTTTAAAGTCAAGAGTGTTCACTCACTACACTCTTATTTAATATAGTTTTGGAGTACCTAGCCAGAGGAATAAGACAAGTGGAAGAAACAAAAGGGATTCAAATAGAGAAGGAAGAAGTCAAATTATCACTATTTACAGATGATATGATCTTCTACCTAAAAGAATGGAAAAACATCAAAAACTCTTAGACATCATAAACACATTCAGCAAAGTAGCAGGATACAAAATTAGTATACAAACACCAATAGCTTTTTTATACACCAACAATAAACAGACTGAGAAAGAAATCAGGAAAACAATCCCATGCACAGTAGCCTGAAAAAAAAAATCTAGGAATAAATTTAATGAAGGAAGTGAAAGATGTCTACAATGAAAACTATAAATTACTGAAGAAATAGAAGAAGACCTCAGAAGATAGAATAATGTCTCCTGCTCATGGATCAGCATAATCAATATTGTAAAAATGGCTACACTACCAAAAGCACAGGTACAGAATGTAGAGTCCTGACACCAATTTCTCGTTCTGAAGCCAGTTATTTACTTTGTAATATAATAGAAGAGGTATAACATGAGTCTAATAAAGTACAAAAAATTATGGAGCCGGGTCATGGGCATTGAAATGCTGGTTCTACCATTCATTTGTTGTGACCTTGAGCATCTACTGATCTGTTAAATAGGAATAATGGTAGCACCATTTCATGTGGTACTTCACATAGATTATGTGAGTACATAAACACAGGTGTCCTAGAATACTATCTGGTACAATATAAGTTGCTGTATAAGTATAAACTATATTGGTATTATTACTCAGCATAGGGAGTTTTCACAGAGAAGACCAAGAGCTGATGTTAGGAGCTAAAATCACAGGTCAGTCTGATTATAAAACTAGGTAAAATAGCTGGGCACTGGTGGCTAATGCCTGTAATCCTGGTTACTTGGGAGGCTGAGATCAGGAGGATTGCAGTTTGAGGATAGCCCAGACAAATACTTTGTGAGACCCTTTCTCCAATTTGCAAGCATGAAGCCCTGAGTTCAGAGCCCAATCCCCTCTCCCCAACAAAAGCCCAAAAACTAAGTGAAATTATTTGCTTTTCCAAAAGAAAATGAATGACAAGGAAGGGAGAGTCTACTAGATCTGTATTTGGAACTATAGAAATGAGTGTAACAAATTTTCTAACTCAGTTACCTATAGTTTTGAAATCAGCTGTGTTTCATTTACACTGCAAGGGAACATAAAAGTGCTGTAATAAGCTTAAGCTTTGTAAAGCGTGCAATAGCATACTGGCATACTTTAGAGATCATTTTTGGTGATTTGTATTCTTAGGTTTCATCTAGAAGTTGACATATACATTGAGAAATTAGGGCAAGAATTGAAAATATAATAAATGAAAAGTGTGCAGTACCCATACTACCCTGCAATAAGATTTGGTCTTCTCTGTTGTATTTTGTTGTTTGTAATCTATCAGAGTTTTATTAATTCCACTTACACAGGCAACCATCTGGACCTTCTCTTAGCAAGACCAGACTAGTATACAACTAAAATGATTGATGGGTTCTGGAATTGATTAGTTGTTCGTGAGACAAATGAAGTGTTTGGCAGAAAATACCAGAGGTTGCTGCTTGTGGTCAGACACAAAAGCCTGTAGAATTTCAAAGAGATGCTTTTATTGTTGACTTACAAAGTTTCGGTTTTTAAACATAAATGGATTTTGGAAATATTTATAAAGTATCTTTCATTTGTTGCTTTTTAATCTTGATTATAAAGTGGAAGAGTATAAGTAAAAAGCTAGAATGAAAGTGATTGTTTTATGCTTTAATTTTATATTCTTGGTAAAAATAAAAACTAGAATGAAAGTAGCATAAAAACCTATAATACCTAAATTATACTCTAAAATTTTCCTGAAACAGATATGATTGAATAAAAGACTGCAGAGCACATATGGTTTTATTTTAAGTCATTTACAAAATAGATGGTTTAAAATTCTTTAGCTGTTTATTCAAAGCTTCACATTAATAGGTAGCAGTAGCAACCTTTTTTTTTTTTTTTTTTGTCAATACTGGGGTTTGAACTCAGGACCTCCCACTTGCTAGGCAGGTACATATCACTTGAGCCCCTCCACCAGCCCTTCCTTTGCATTGGGTATTTTTGAGATAGGGTCTTAAGAACTATTTGCCCAGACTGGCCTCAAACCATGATCCTCCTGATCTCTGCCTCCCAAGTAATTAGGATTACAGGCATGAGCCACTTGCGCCTGGCAGTAACCTGTTTTTAACAAATCTATTTCTCTGAAGCACCAAGGGTATGTGCTAAACTTACTTTGTATGTTAAAAATTGAATATCTGGATTTTTATGCTTTCAACAGGCTAAGTCATTCTGGGATACCACTATCCTAGTGACACCACTGTCCTTAGTCCTAAGAGTTTCCCTCCACCTATTTGACTGGTGGTAGTGGAATCTTTTCCTATTTCACTGTTGCCTGTGGTCAACATTGTGTTAATACTTTGGTGATAGGTGATAAATTAGATGACATATGTCTTGTTACATTCTGGTTATTCTTTGAGGACTACACAAGTGTGTATAGGCAAATGGGCAACTCTCCCTTGAGGATCTGGCTGCTCAGAATGAACTTGAGTTATGGATTTATTCAGCCTGTAAAACCTCAGCTGGTATAAATAATTGAGAAAGCAAAGGTTTGTCTGTGGTGCATACCTCAGGGACTCATGGCCCCTTTCCTCCTCTCTACCTCCCTTTCTTATGAAAATGATCCCAGTTGCACTCCTGGATAATAACATACCAAGCAATTAAAAGCCATGGGTGGCTAGAGAGAGGAGAAAAGGTTTAGTTAATGAGCTTTTCCTCTTCCAGTGCCCAAGAGAGCCTCAGGAATGACAAGGCGATTAAAGCAAAGAGATAATTATAGATTATGTGAAAATGGGTCCCTTGGGACAAGCAGGTCTTGACATAAACAGTAAGTGTTGTAAGAGTCTCTTGGCTCTCATATTCACCCTTTTCTAATGTGCTTCATTTAGCTCCTGTGCTCAGTATCATGATACCAACCAAGCATAGAGGCAAATCCACCTGTTTGCAGATCAGCAGCCCTTCCTGAACAAGGAGTCACTAATCAGCTAGAACCATTATCCGCTCTTCTCTCTCCTTTCTTCTCTTCCTTACCCCTACTTTGTTCTTTCTTTCCACTCGTAATCCTTACCTTCTCTTCTAGATCCTAATGCTAGGATTAGGACTTGTTTACAAAGTTTGGTGTGTGTGCACATATAAAGAAACAGTTGTCAGGGTACTATATTCATTATAATAAGAGACAGTATACATTTACATTATTACAAATAATATGAGCAAGGCCCCTCACAATCTCATCTAATGCCAGTTTGCCTCTTACCCCTTTGTTTATTCTGCTCAAATCACATTGGCGTATTTTTATTTCTTTGAAGGTATAATTAATATTTGTTAAATTAATTGATAGTGTTAAGTCCAGGTATGAAAAATGACCCCAGCTTACAACATATGCTAAATTCTTCAGATAATAATGACAGCTACCATGTATCTACTGCTTATTATGTTCTCATGACCATATTATGTAATATGTGTTATTTTGCTTAATATTCAGAATGGCCCTGTGGATATTATTAATTATCCCTGTTTTACAGATGAGGCAGCTGAAATTCAAAGAGCGTAAGTTACTTGCCCCAGGTCACATGGTTACTAACTCTGCTTTTAATTAATGTGCATACCAGCTCCTGAAATGGTTGATGAATCATTGTAATTTCTAATTGAATAGATAGTTGTTATTATATTAACATACTTAATATTTTCAGTTAAATATTTAAAATTAAATCCCTTTTCCATTTACTGTTCCTTAAGATGAGATTCACTTGTAAAATTAGAGACTAGTCTTTCATTTATCACTATACTAATGATGTTTCCTTTGGATTAATTGTTCTATTGATTTTTAGACTTACCTTAATGATTGAGACTGTAATTCAGCTCTGTAAAGAAGCCTTGTAGCAAAGCTGGTCTGCAGAGTTTTCTTTGGGGTCACTGATTTTGATCAAAATTGAACTACATTTTTCCTTACAGGCATTTAA